GAAAATAATTCTTTTTGATCTACTACAATTCAACAAGATAATCTTGACTTTTGAGCAGAATTCAGTGGAAGTTTCTCATACCACAGCACTTACTCTAGATAATGAGCTCAGTCATGAGATTTCTGTCTTCAGCAGTCTGAGCATGGTTTCAGTGTGTCTTGTATTTTTCCTGCAGCAGTTGTTCAGTAAGATTATTAGATATTCAAGAATGTGCAATGCTTTCTGGTTTACTGGATACTTAACACTGTAGGATTTTTTCTAAATATTTTAAAATCACTGCTACTGCTGGTTTTTTCCATGGGATTCACTCAAATACTGTAAGTTCTGCACAGTTCTTTATGCAAGTCTCTTCTAGCAACAACTGATTGTTGTAAACCAACATTGTGTCTTTGTATATCACTCAGTTGTTCTCCACCTACACTGGGACATCATGTGCTGTCTTTTGACTGGTGCAACAAAATAACACTAGAAGATACCCAGACACTTAAAACTATCTAAAAAAAAAAAAAGCTATCACTTAAAAGCTATCTAAAAAAAATATAAAAAAATAAGTAGTTTTCATTGTAAGAACAATAAAGTTACAAATTTTTAAATTCAAATTGAGTATTTTTATTAGCTGTTAGAGAAATGCACATAGTCATAAAAATAATGTGTCATTTCATTACAGTAACCAAATAGTGTTGTCTTTGCTATATAGAGCTATATATAGTTCTACAGGAATTTCACAACTGAAGCCTTTTCTGCATAGTTAAATGATTGAAGAGCTGAATATATGTGTTATCTGCTATGAATAAGATAGGCAGAGAACCTAAAAATTCTGAATGAACTTAGAGGAAGCAGGAAGAAAGGATTCAATCTAACAACAAGAGTTATCTGAAGAAAGTAATTTTCAAGTAAGTTTCAGTTTTCATCTGCTACTGTTTAGAAACATTGAAAAGCATGAGTTAGAGTGTGGGAGTTGACAATGGCTACAGAGCACACCTGAGACACAGTAAAGTCTGTCTCAATTTATGTTGGTCTGCTACACCCAAATGGCTCCCCTCAGAGGCATCTGAGTTCAAGCAGGGACTAGCTCCCCAATGTACAGTGGAGAACAGCCCTGGTTAACTTGTTCTTCTACAGAAAGAAGCAACACAATAATATAAGGAAATGACAGTAGCTGCAAACCTATAAACCTACTGTCATAGATTAAATGCAGTGAAAATGAACTCCAGGCAATAAGACAACAATAGCTTCTATGCACATCAAGAACTGCTTATCAGAAAACCCTCACTTGCCATCAATGATTAAGAAGGGTGTTTTTATAACAGAAATGGCATCCCTATCCAGTGTGTCACTTCATCTTGAATATATTAATATATCTTACTGAGAGACTTTTATTTAATCTCAAGATGTCTACCAGTCTGTTGGAGCAACTATTGTCTGTATGAGAGGATAAATAGCTGGGTAAAGGATAATAAAAGGAGTCTTCTAGGGAGATTGAACACTGAACAACTATGTTCATAGCAGATTTACTTGGAATAATGACAACCCCTTTAATTTGAAATTATTTAGAAGTACAACTTCTTTAATTTTTGTTTTTCTTAACATGTAAAGGAAAGAGATATTCTGAGAGCAAACTTACTGGACAGCTCAGAGAACTGGAGAATTGCAGGAAAATAGAACTGAAATTATTTGTGAAGCACTGGGGCGGGACCTTTAAGGGTGCTGCAGGCTTAGAGCCTGCCTGCTGTTTCAGAAGGGGTTTGATATACTTGGCTTTGGGGAAACCCTGACAATTTTACAACTAACTTCACTGTGGAAGAGACATACAGTTATCTTTATATAACAAGGGTTTACTATCCAGATGCTTTGGAGAACACAGGTACCGTTAATTACTGGGAGATTAATTTGATCCTTGTAGTTAGCTTTCTGACAGAATGAGATTTTATGTCAGCTGAGAGACTGGGAGAGAGCTCTCTCTTTTTAATATCATGCCTTATACAGTTCATCAGCTTTACTGATTGGAAATCTGACAGTTCCTAATGTCTCCTGGTATACTGGCTGCTCCTCAGCCACAGACACTGACAGATAGGCTTTAGTTTTTATCATGCTTAGAAAAGAGTTGTTTAAATTCTGCTGCTGCTTCTCCAGCACAACATGCAGTTCCAGAAACACTGCTGCAGTGCAACAGATAAACATTGCACAGGAACAGGCTTTGCACTCCCAGAGCTCAGTGTTTTGTGACATTCTGTAGCTGCTTATCTGATAAAGTAGCATCAGCTTTTCAGAACACTAGCAGTGTCTCTTAGACACAAGATGATGTCACGTATGCCTTGTCCCCAAACCCACACATGATTTTGAAACATGCTGTATGCTCTGCATTTAACAAAACCTAAACAAGTCTTTCTTTTGTGTGGGGAAAAAAAAATCATGGTGCAACTTCCTTATTTCTTTCTTTCCCCATTTCTTACTTATATCAGCTTCTCGTACTGGCTTCCATTAATTCGGAGTTCCCAATTTTGTATTGCTGTCTGTAAGCCCTTCAGCAGACCTGGTACTACAATGCCCAACACTAAAAAAAGTGGCTGAAAATTTTCTTTTCAATGTCATTCATGTCACCCTGAAAGACCAATGTGTGGGAAGACAGCTTAACCACAAAGTTCTCATGTGCGTGGCCTAATTGGAATTTCTTTTAACTGACATTTTGGTAGCCATATAATTTTTTTTCTGCTGATCTTCTGTCAAGTTGTTGTAGCATTGTGAATCAAATTCTCAGACTGACAAGTGTTGCATGGTCTATGATGGCACACAGTGCACTGAATAACCAAGACCTTTGGCTTTTTATGTTTTTTATCATCCATCTTGCCAATTAAACATGTCTGAGGAGCCTGAACCAATGCTTAGTACAGAGTGACATGACTTCTCAGAATAAAAATTCTAAATCTCAGCAAACAAGAGATATATTTCTTGGAAATGTTTCGCACAAAAGTTCAAAGAAATTTAAGAGGCAGTATTTGATTTTGTTTATTTTAATTCTAAGAAAACAAGAGACTTAAGTGCTAGACCAACCTTTCAAAATGTTACTGGAGGCAGATGAAGGAATGCCATCTTATGCTACCTGACCTTATCTTGCTTTGCCTTCCTTTAAATTTCCTTTCATTTTTTCCCAGTAAGACTGTGCCATTGCGGCTGTCACAGCTGGAGCCTTTTAAAACCTGCCACGTCCCATTGTCTGTGCCAGCAACTCACTCAGCCTTTAAAAGTCCTTCCCCTTTGCTGACTTCCAAGAAGCATTTAGAGTCTTCTCCCAGTCTAATGTGTATAATAGCCATCACCTATCTGACCCTGATTCAAGTGGAGACCAAGTGAACTGGTAGTCCCCAGGCTCTGTCATTGAATTGGTTCCTAAAGGAAAAATCGCTTCTAAAGTGAAAAATGCTGTGGAATGGAAGAAGCTGTAAAGAATCTTAAGGTCACCTACTGTCCTTTAAATCCATCCTATAGTCTCAAACTGCAGTCTGTGACCCTTAAGTCTGCTGAAACATTTCTCTTTAAATCTGTTTTGATTCTTTAAAAGCTGAGTGTGATGTAGTTACAGCATGGTGTATACCAGTTTCTCTCTGCTCTTCCCATCTCACATTTCTAGTGCCTTCCACTCTGTTGTACCAATGAATTGATTAATAAATATTAACTACTGTAGCACACATAGATCTTTGAAAGTCTCTTACTAGGTTAACAGGCTTTCTGTGACCTTAACAAAATTCAACAAATACCAAAAAGAGATTTTTCACTCAGTATTTAAAAACTTGAGATGATAAAAAAATCACAGTAGGGTGCTGAGAAATGTAAATTACTGATGACTACAGTTTTCCAATGTTTTTATAGTCTCAAGTGGACAGTTAATCTGACATTATAGATCTCAGTTGTTTAGTAACCTGTTTTTATTAAGAATAAAATACAGATTTTTCTTACTCTAATTAATTATTCTTTGTTCCATTTCTGAAGAACTGTATACTTCATTGGCTGTAGGAACACGGTGTGCTTCCCTGGAAGTTCTGTTCTGTCTGTTCCTGCCTTTCCTGTTTGTTCTCTGATACTTGAGGGAAATAGTAACAACTTTCTTGTTCACAGCTTTCTTGTTAAGTGTTTCTTGATCCTCCTCTTTGAGGGTGCTTCTTGAAAGAACCAACTGATATTTGCCAATTCTTATTCCAAGAAATAGCTAGGATTTTCAAGCAGTGAAAGCACCAACTGAAGTTACATAAGGACAGGCAGTTCCATTTTCTGTATACAGAAAATCAAACTAAGAATGACCAGTCTATAAATTAAGAACTTTGGTCCTCATTTTGCAAAGCAGAACGTCACCTAAGAGTTGTGCTACTGTAACTGTTATTTTAAATTTGTATTTGGAAAAATCATATAGAAGCATAAGACAGGAATTTAGCATCCGTTATGACTTTCCATGTCATCCTGTTATCCCATTTAATAAAATGAGTATCCAGGTGTTTGCAATGAAGAAATGGGGCAGAAGACAATGGGTTAATACAACAAAGAGAGGAAGAGAGGGAAAAGGTAACAATGAAATTATTTAGATAAGCAAAATGAGAAGCAGACAGGGCCCAGCAGTGGGTAAATATAGTCAAGGGGCAAAAATAAATTTTAATAAGCCTTGAAGAAGACTTAGTATATATTTCTGCAAATCTTAGCACTGTTTATATAAAACTCAATGTTATTTAAAGTATTCTATAATTTGGTTAATCAGAATTCTTCCAAGGGAATGAAATTATCATAGTTGCTTCATAAATATGTGTAGCGTGAAAATCATGATGTTTTGCTTATTTTTGCTTTGCTCAATCTTGTTTTAGTCTTTTAGTATGCTGCAGTTTTTGTTACAGAGTGTCTGTACTTTTTACCAAAAGACTGACTTCCCATGTTGGTGGAATTTCCTAAGACCAAGGAACTTCCATTTTGTTATTTTATCACTTTATCACCGACTGTTTTGTGGCTGTAAATTGCAGGTGAATCTATCTGGAAGGTCTTCTTCTTCACTCCCAACTTCAGTCCTGAGGACTCCAATGGTTGCTATGATTCTCACGTTTGCTTCTGCCATGGAGGATTCATTACACGACATGATCCTCCACTGCTCTTCGATCTGTCCAGAGACCCTGAAGAGAGAGTGCCACTGACTCCAGAAACTGAGAGCCGTTTCTATGAAATCATCAGGGTCATACAACAAGCAGTAGACAACCACACCAAATCCCTGCATGCTGTTCCTAACCAGCTGTCATGGGACAACCTTCTCTGGAAGCCATGGCTCCAGCTCTGCTGCTCATCTCTCTTTCAGTCTTGTTACTGTGACTATGAATCAGGAGGGGGTTCGCTGCAGGTGCATTTGGGATAAATAAGCTGCAATTCCCTTTCAGAAACTGGACCAGCTGAGTGTGAGTGTCTGACTTGAACTTAGGGTACAAGCCTTCAGAAGGTTTTGTTGTGTTGGTGGAGGACCAGTCTTCAAATACATATTGCAGTAGAAGAGAATTTCAGTCAAGAAAATGTGCCAGGAGAGGGAAGGCAAGACAGACCTCAGTCCTAATCACACAGCCTGAAGGACACATTGCCGTCCTCATATACACATGGGTAGAATTGTAGGCATTTTCTATGGGAGATAATTTTCTAGACCTTCAGCTTGGGCTTTTGTCTTACACAGCAAAGAATTTACCTATCAGTTCTGTCAATCACAACTACTAAATGCACACTTTCCTGTCCTTTTTACTAAGTGTTATCCATTAGTAGGACATAGCACTGAGTAATTGAAAACAGAGAGATAATAGTGGAAAGGTCCTCCTGTGACAGTCATTTGGTAACTGATAGATAGGTTAAGAGCAGACTTGCAACAGATCTCTGTTAACAACCATGACAAATATGAAAAAACTGACAGCTTGCCAACAGTCTAACTTTGAATGTGCCATAAAAATGCATAGAGCTATGGTAGTAGAAGACCTTGTGTCTGTACTAAAATGATGCTCCCCAGCATCCCTGCTGTTCTTCCTATTGCATGGCAGCAACCTTTGTTTCAAAAGGACACCACTTCAATTGCACCAGCTGCGTGTTTGAGTGTGTACCACAAGTCTCCATATATACATATATATATATATATATATGTATATGCATATGTGTGTGTGTGCATAAATCCTTCAATCCCTGATACAGGCACACCCTTATGATCATATTCCAACTGATAAAAGGAAATATTTGGTCCATACTTGATATATGAGTTCCAAATTTACATGATACTACAAATTTGTCTTTCACCTATTTGTCATACTATTCTTCCATTGATGAAAGTAATCACAAATAAATAAAATTTGGTCTTCCTTTAAATATCTTTGCCATCTTTTAAGCTCTCTGAATAGGATCTATCATTTTCTGAAAATAAGCTTGGGCTTGAGTACTTAAAGCCAAATATAACTGTCTCTGAGTTCTCAGCAAGGTCTTGGGAAATCTACTGTCCTCAAGGGCTAATTTTTGTATCCATTTTTATCTCTGTCTTATTCAGGCACATTTTCTTTCCCCTCTACAGGCAGACAAACTATTTTCTTTGGCATATTGCAGATGAAAAGAAGATATCAGCAAAATACTAAAATGATTTGATGCCTGATAATAGAAGGTGACTTACTCCTTATCAGAAAGCAGCAGTTAATTCCCACATTACAATGTATTAAAAGCTGTTTGGGGCAAAAGTGATCTGTGATGATAGTAATGCAGTAGCTTCAGTCAGCCAGCATTAAGGTTGTGACCCAGTTCTTGTAAGCTATTGAAGCCTTTCCTTAAAAAATATATTGTGATAAATGGTATACTTCTCTATCTGTAAAACCTAGGCTTTATTTGATTTTTCCATTGCAGTTTCATTCAAAATTTCATTCTCCACAATACCCAGAAGCCTCTCCTGGGAAATGTACTTTTTCCTTGAAGTCCTATTTTTGATGTTTCACCTTGTGTTCATGATCTTAATTATACCCTCAGCAAACTCTCTGTAGGAGGCAAAGCCCCGTGACCAATATTTATCACTGAATGTACTACATAACCTTAGGAAGAAAAATGCCTCTCATTTGAATACAAATATTCTTCCATGAGAGTGGCTGCCTTTCAATGTCATGGCAGGATCTGTACATCCCAAATTTTTGGTCCTCACCATGTGGCCTTAGAACCCCTTGGGGCATGGCATTGGTGCCAGCATGTCCCTCCTTGCAGCCAAAGGGCAGCACTCAGGCCTAGCTGTGGCCAGAGTGCAGAAACACCACGGTGTGGAGGGATGCTCTTTCCAACTCCCACAGCTCTGCCACAGCTTACACAAAAGCTTTTCAAACAAGAACTCCTGAAGAAAATGGAAAAAAAAAAAGTGTTGTGTTCAGTGTACAATGCTAACTCAGACAAGGGGTTTGGTGTCATTAGTTCTACTTTGTTTCCACAGTTTCTGGTCTGTGACCTTTCAGAGTACTAAATGTATATTCTCAAGGACACCCACACTGACTTTTTTTTAATCAGGAAGACTGTGTTGCTACTATTTCTTTTTCTTTCTTTTGCAGGTGCAAGAATTCTTTGTTCTGCTAGGCACAACAGCTGTTCTGTGCTGCTTGATCAAATATCAAAAATGATGACTTTTCTACTGCTCTGATTTCTTCTTGCCTGAATATGATGTTTCTCTCATACCCCCCTTGGCTTTTGATGCCATCTTTCTAATCTCCTTTCTTAAAACATCCACACCCCTGAAATATTTTTCCATCTATTTCTTTACCACTCAGTCCTTCTGTTTGCTTGTCATATTGATTGTAATGGCTATGTTGCCTTAATCAATCAGAAAATTTAAAGTTGTCTTTGTCATAAAATTTGACTCGTAAGGCTCCTTGACTCTGCTAACCTCCTGGTTATTTAAGATCCAACAGGAATGAACTTTGCATTATGAAATATAAGGAATAAAAACATACCTGAGATGTTGTTTAATATAAATAATATAAAATATTTCTTGTTTGTGGCACAAACTTAATATTTTACAAAATATAATTTAGTACAATGTTTAATACTTTGACATAAGCAATAAAATCTGAAATCCATTCTTAAAATTATTCCTTCAAGAAAGATTCTGTGAAGAACAGGGAAGTATTTTTCGTATTCTTTGTTAATACCATTTCATTTAATACCTAAAATAAACCTTCCTTGTATTGCAAATGTATTATATTTTTCAGTACTATACCTTCTGTTCTGGAGATGGCGTGTCAGATCAGGGTAATTAAAGTAGTCTTGTTTATCTGCAAAATAAAATGTGAAGGACAATATAACATTTGTGTAATGGCACTGCCTGATCTAACAAGGAAAAGTTTTGTTTTTAACAACAGGTTATTGATGGCATATACCTGTTTCACAATTTACTAACAAGGAAGGCTCAAGGAGAGTGTGCTGCTCTGATACTTGGAAACTGACTTTCAATCTATCATTTAATGAGCACTGCTCTTGTAACATGGTGCCTGTTTATAGGATATGTCATTTTAAACAGGGAGTTCAGCTTCAGAGGGTAGTGTATTCCTCTACAGTATTGTTTAACAATATCATGTCCTAATTTGTGACAGAGTCCCTGTACAGCCCAGAGCAAGTCATTTAACTCATTTCTCAGCTCCTCTGCTGCACTCAGAAGAGGAAAACAGTATTTCTCTAACTGCTGGGAATACTGAAAGAACAGAAAATGCTGAATGTGGTAAGCTGGTAAAGGTGAACTTTCTAGTACCTTCTCTATAGAACACACAATTTAAAAGTTGGAAAAATAGGATGTAGAAGATCCCCCTAGACGGTAGGTGATACCCTTAACTTGAGGTTTGCAGGTGGGTTCTGTGTGTTATTTAGTGGGATTGTGATCTGGAGGAGAAAGAATAGATGGCTAAAAAAGATACACACTTAGGATTCAGAGAAAGTTTTAAGTCCCATTTTTATAATTATATTTATTCTCTTTTTTAGCAGTCAGGAAACTATGTGGGATAATAAATAATGTTTTTCCCTCAGGGACTGGATGTCACAGGTTCTCAGCTCTTAAAAATAGAGATGTCCCGACTTGCCTCCAATTATGGTCAGAAAAATCAAAAGTTAAAAAAAAAAAAGGGAAATAGGAGCTTTGGAGAGAGGTGTCAGCTTGCTTAAATCCAACTGAAAGTTTGCACAGAACTAAGAGAATCTGTTCTGTATACTTCACAGGTCAGTGAGAATCATCACTTGCCAGCAATCATTTATTTCACACTGTAGTAATGGGAAATCTGGATATTCAGATATGTGGACAATGTAAAATATTTCACTTAAAATATCACTTGATATAGGAAAAAAGGGAAAAAGAAGAAGAGTGCAAGCATAGCTACAAAAATCATATGTGTGGGATCTCAGCACATCGTTCCCGATGTCCAGAGATGCCAGGAGAGCCCTTGGGGGTCTCGAAAACCCTGGAATGTTGCCAAGAGTGTTTGGTGGCTTGATTTTGATCCATCCACAGAAGTAACAAGAGTCTGAGGACAAGAGAATCACTTTAGAGTAAAAGGTGTAAAAGAGACACATTTAGAGGGTGAGATATAGATTTTAAGGTTTTTGGTACAGGGGGGTTATGGAGACAAGATGGAGGGATCAGGGCGTGTCTTGTCCTTCTTCTTTCTTCTTCTTGTCCTCCATCTCCTGTGATGATGTTGGCACTTAGAGATTGGTTTCTAGTGAAGGTGCACTTGCCAACATGGGCGAAAAGCATTGGGAAATAAAGGTAAATATTGTATACGTAGGTTTTAGTATAAAAAGACATGACCGCCCCGTGGGTGGTCAGAGAGTGCCTGTGACTGCCTGCAGATCAGACCTCTGTTGGGCAGACAGAAAAATTTTGTAGATAAGAAATAATAAACAACCTGAAGACCGAAAGCTGAAGAGTCCAGACTCATCCTTTGCATCGCGCCCACCAAAGAACCACTCTACCCGTGTCGGGGCAGAGACAGACAGCCGGACCCGACACATATGTTCTATTGAAGTGTGTTTATTAAAAAGTGTTTTAATTTATGTTTTTGGCATCCATTACTACAATAATTTTTACTTACATTAGAACATATAGCTCTGTGCTTAAGACATATCTTTTCATCTTCTCTCTCATTTCCCTTTCCTCTGGCATTGCCTGTGAAGTATCCAAAATATGCAGTAAGGAGCAAGAGGTGGCCACCCTGCCCACTACAAGCAGTGTGGTCAGACATGCGGGCAGGAGGAAAGGCTTGGGCAAAACTCTGCATGGGAACCACAGGAAGCAAAGAGTGTCTGGGGCTTATCTCCAATCTAAAGACAGAGATAGAGATCTGGAAATTGACCCTGAGATTAGGTAACTGGTTAAACTGGTTAAGCTGGTTAGAGAGCAGAACTAATAACACCAGAGTTCAGGGTTGGATCCCCATGGGGGCCATTCACTGAAGAGCTGGACTTGATAATCCTTCTGGGTCCCTTCAAACTAAGAATATCCTGTGATTCTGTGAAATTGCTGCTTCCTCTGGGTCTGTCAGAGACTGCAGGTGACCAGGAGGAATGAGGTCCCCTCTGTGGCCAACAGGACTGTCATGTGTTCTGCAACAGGGTCCTTTTGTGTCAGGATGTCAGGTGGAAATTAGTTTGGAACCCACAGGATGCAGGACCTCTTGCCTCTGAATAATCATACCAAGCAGACTGCTCCTGAATCATCATACATGAGGTGACAGATCTTAGTCTGACACTCTAAAGCGGCAACAGTCTCACACGTTTTTTTGCTGGAGGACCAGAAGACCTGAGGCAGGCTCTAGGGACTCCCAGTTTACAGGCTGCTAAAACTGCAAATAATTCAGAGAGTCCTGGAAATACCCTGGCAGGTAAGGCTGACAGATATGGCTTTTCCATGCTCCTCTTCGTAGTTTTTATTTACATCAAACTAATAAGAATCTGCTTAGAACTTTGCATGTACAGAAAACAAAGGATTGTGCAGATTTTTCTTAAGATCCACCCCCCCTTAATTTTATGCTGTGAGTTTGGTACTGAGAACAATTAGACTGTGCCAATGCGAGACACAGCAACTGAAGATTTCTTATATATGTGGAAGATGCTGAATTTCAGACTCCCACTGGAGTTTGTGCTATACTGGTTAGTGAGATAAAGACTGGCTTGATTATCTGTGCATCTCTAATTGCACTGTCAAGGTTATGAAACATTTCTGAACTTGGGAGATGTGAATTATAGGTTTTGCGATGTTTATGCAGCATCTCCTGAATGCCTAAAAAACATTGCTTTAATATAAATCAGGTTAGGTTCCCTATGTAGATTAATGTTAGTCTTATCTATTAGAAAATGGTGTTGCAGGTACTTTCCTTGGAAAAGAAAGCTATATTAGAAGATAATAAATTCGGCATGTGGGGGTCAGCTCAGTTATAAAAACCCTCCAACGCTTTTTATTCTACCTTTATCCAATAATAAAGCCTTTTTATGCAGATAATACTTCATTGTACCTGATTTATGTGAAAAATACTGTGAAATAGTTTAAATTATAAGGCAGAGCTCTTCATTGTGACACTTATTTTAAGAGAATTTGATACAAAGTTAGCAATATTTATTACAAAGGATTAGATACAAAGCATCTCAAAAGCCTTATGGACTCAAGTTGGGCTGCAAGAGAATAACTTTGGTTTAATATGGTCTTTCTTGCTCACAAATTAAAAACGAAGTAATGAAGAAAAAACTTTAAGAATAGTTTGCCTGTGCCGTTAGTGATAAAAAGAATACTTGAAATTTGTGCTATGTGCGAGAATTTTTTTCATTTTTTTTCCTCATTGTTATCTTTTATGTTATAGCTCCTCCTGGCAAGCAGACAGTATTTATACTCAGATGTAGGAAAATGTGCTGATTGGTTTGTAAGTGTCAACCTTGCATTGTCATATGCAATGCATTGGGAAGTAACTGATTAATGCCACTCTCCTGGTGACTATTTAAACTTCAGGGAGATTGTTAGGATGAGAGTTTTAGATCCTAACATTTCCCTGTCTGATACCCATGAGAAACGGAATAATTCAGAGATCTGTCATCACAGACCAAGCTTTCAAAAAGCATAATATTCTGCAAAATGAGCTGCCTCATACCCTATCCTTCTCCTCTATGAAATTTACCAAAAATAAATGGAAATCCTCTCTGATACTAAGCTTTATGCTACCAAATCACAACCCTCTTTTATTATTTATATTATTATATTTATTTATAAGAAAATTCAGCCACAAAAGACCAACCCCAGCAGATAAGCACTCTGCCCTTTCTGGATTAATGACAATAATGAATGCTAGAGCTCCAGCAGCTGCAGCAATGTGTACTAAAGGAATGCTGCTGACACTCAGTTTTTATGCACTCCATTCCAGGCTATGTAGAGAGTCTCCATCTTCACATATTAAACCTATGGTTGGTTTCAGCGTTCTCCTGTGTTTTTCCTTTTGCTCTCCAGATCCATTTTTGGGGAATGTAGAAATCATGATGTAGGAAAGTGTACAGGCTGCCAATGAAAAAAAATAGCTCTTCATCATCTGACTGTGCCACTGCATGGCCAAAAATTTTAAATCCAGCAAACTAAGAGGGCAAAATTCCCTAGCGGTAAGGACACTCACCTGGGCTGTGATGACAGCTTTACTATGAAACTTCAAGACTGATTAAGTGTTTTTAATCACATGAGGTACACATATTGCCTCTGGAGCAGAGAAGGATATATCTTATGGCTATGAAGTCACTTTCTGTCTCCATTACTCACTACCTGACCTGGTGAGGGTAGCAGTCTTTGCTTCAGAGCAGCAAAGCTCTTACAAAAAAGGCAGAAAGTACAGTGTACTTCTCCTTGCCCACCTTTTTTTCACACCCAGACACAGATGCTTAGGAATGCTTTGTTTTAACTGCACATCCTATCTAGAAAAATGTCAAGGAGAGGAGGCTTGGAAGTATTATCTGTCTTCTTTGATCCCAGGCTTAGAAATACTGTGCTTGTGCAGAAAGGACCTCATTCTCACACTGCCAGGAGTGCTCTGAAAGTAGGATCAAAGTACTTAGATGACATAGGGAGGACGTATTCCCTGCCCACAGAAGAATTTAGAAACCACTGTAGGTAGAAATAGAGTTGTAGGTCTGAGATTTATTTAAGTTAGATGATGAAGATACCTGAGTTTGTCTCCATTTCTACCCAGGACAGACAAAACCAAGATGGGTCAATGCTATTTTGTGTGGCTGTGTGAAGATTTTATTAGTCATGTCTAATAATGTGCCTTTTTTTTTTTTCTTAGGC